ATGATGGTTAGATGATGGTTGGATGATGGATGGATGATGGTTGGATGATGGTTGGATGGATGGATGATGGTTAGATGATGGTTGGATGATGGATGGATGATGGTTGGATGATGGTTGGATGGATGATGGTTGGATGACGGATGGATGATGGTTGGATGATGGATGGATGGATGGATGATGGTTGGATGATGGATGGATGGATGGATGATGGTTAGATGATGGTTGGATGATGGATGGATGATGGTTGGATGATGGTTGGATGGATGATGGTTGGATGATGGATGGATGGATGGATGATGGTTGGATGATGGTTGGATGGATGATGGTTGGATGATGGATGGATGGATGGATGATGGTTGGATGATGGATGGATGGATGATGGTTAGATGATGGTTGGATGATGGATGGATGATGGTTGGATGATGGTTAGATGATGGTTGGATGATGGATGAATGACGGATGGATGATGGTTGGATGATGGATGATGGATGGATGATGGTTGGATGATGGTTGGATGATGGTTAGATGATGGTTGGATGATGGTTGGATGATGGTTGGATGGATGGATGATGGTTAGATGATGGTTGGATGATGGATGGATGATGGTTGGATGATGGTTGGATGGATGATGGTTGGATGACGGATGGATGATGGTTGGATGATGGATGGATGGATGGATGATGGTTGGATGATGGATGGATGGATGGATGATGGTTAGATGATGGTTGGATGATGGTTGGATGGATGATGGTTGGATGATGGTTGGATGGATGATGGTTGGATGATGGATGGATGGATGATGTTAGATGATGGTTGGATGACGGATGGATGATGGTTGGATGATGGATGGATGGATGATGGTTGGATGATGGATGGATGATGGTTAGATGATGGTTGGATGATGGTTGGATGATGGTTAGATGATGGTTGGATGGTTGGATGGATGATGGTTGGATGATGGTTGGATGGATGATGGTTGGATGATGGATGGATGGATGATGGTTAGATGATGGTTGGATGACGGTTGGATGATGGTTGGATGATGGATGGATGGATGGATGATGGTTGGATGATGGATGGATGGATGGATGATGGTTAGATGATGGTTGGATGATGGTTGGATGATGGATGGATGGATGGATGATGGTTAGATGATGGTTGGATGATGGTTGGATGATGGGTTGGATGATGGTTGGATGATGGATGGATGATGGTTGGATGATGGATGGATGGATGGATGATGGTTGGATGATGGATGGATGGATGGATGATGGTTAGATGATGGTTGGATGATGGTTGGATGATGGATGGATGGATGGATGATGGTTAGATGATGGTTGGATGATGGATGGATGATGGTTGGATGATGGTTGGATGATGGTTGGATGATGGATGGATGATGGTTAGATGATGGTTGGATGATGGATGGATGATGGTTGGATGATGGTTGGATGATGGTTGGATGATGGATGGATGATGGTAGGATGACGGATGGATGATGGACTCAACAACTTGTTTATTGTGAAACATTCAGGAAACATGGGAATCTGCAGGTTTAGTATTTAACATTTCGGCAATCGGTGCAGCTGGTGTTAGCTTGCTAACTGTTTAGCTTCATTGATCTCAGCATGCTAACTGGCTAACATTGCTAACTGAACAAAGGAGATGATTGTTGACTACAAGAGGAACAGGGTCAAAGGTCACACCCTATGAAGGTAGTGAGGAACATAAGCACGTGCTGTCGCCGTGACAACAAGTGGACTGGGTTGGTTTGGATCGTCTGTTGGAGCAGCAGAACCAACAGCATGAGTAGGAAGGCTGGTTCCGGTTCTGCTCTGGTTCTGTTCTGGTTCTGACTGTGGAACCTCTGGAGATGATGATGCAAAAAGGATTCTTTATAAAATCTAGATTGTGGCCGATCTGGACCGTCGTCTTCAGTCAGAGCTTTTTGGTGCGCTGCAGTACAGACTGCTACAGGAGATCATCAGCATCAATGGCTGTGAAGCATTTTGATGAGCTGCTATTTCATTTCCCTTTGAGATTCATAAAGTATTTTTGAACTGAATTTGAATTTAGCCTGAAACTAAAAATTTAGCTTGTTTAGTATATTTTAGTTTGTAGCTGACAACCTAAATATTTACATTAGCATGTTAGCAAAATACTAAAATATTCTGCTGGATCATTAAGAGCTTGAAACTCTTCCATGGTTTATTACCGTGTAAATAACATTTGGAATATTAATATCTGAGGCTAAATAATCCAAAAGATTGCTGTTCATTTTTTACAGTGTAGCTTTAAAATGGCCGCCCTTCCTTCCTGCTCAACTCATCTGATGATTTAGTTCCTCAGCAGAACCAGGAACTCGTTTGGGCCCAGCTGGGTTTACAGATCCTGATCAGACATTTTCCCATCAGATCAGTTTCCTTTTTCACTTCCTGCCTTCAGTTCGGTTCGTCATCGAACCGGATTCTGGTCCGGTTCTGGTCCGGTTCTGGTCCGGTTCTGGTCCGGGTCGCCCTGCAGGATCCCCCGGTAACCATAGCAACCTGCTGCCACGCAGGACCGATGCTGCCGGTTTGGTTCAAGACGTTCTGAGAATGAGAGGATCCATGATTCAACTCAGAACCAGGCCACCAGATCAGAACCAGGCCACCGGATCAGAACCAGGCCACCGGACCAGAACCAGGCTACCGGACCAGAACCAGGCTACTGGACCAGAACCAGGCCACCAGATCAGAACCACCAGCACCGGACCAGAACCAGGCTACCAGATCAGAACCAGGCTACCGGATCAGAACCAGGCTACCGGATCAGAACCAGGCTACCGGATCAGAACCAGGCCAAGAGTTTCATCATGTTTGCATCTCAGGTTTTCTCTAGAAATTATTCGATTATTCTAACATTTCAGGGTTTTCCTCAGGAATTTGAGTTTGTTTCTTTAAAATTTGTCAGACCAATTTAAAAATTTTAGTTTATGGCTGAAATTCATTGTTTTGTTTTTTTTACACGCCGTCGCTTCAGAGCGTCTGAGCGATTTGCACATTGATGAGACGATTCTGCAGCCAGATGGTTTTCATCAGCCTCCTTGGCCTGGTTCTGGTCCGGTGGCCTGGTTCTGGTCTGGTGGGCTGGTTCTGATCCGGTGGGCTGGTTCTGGTCCGGCGGCCTGGTTCTGATCCGGTGGCCTGGTTCTGGTCCGGTCACCTGGTTCTGATCCGGTGGCCTGGTTCTGGTCCGGTGACCTGGTTCTGATCCGGCGGTCTGATTCTGGTCCGGCGGCCTGGTTCTGGTCCGGCGGCCTGGTTCTGGTCTGGTGGGCTGGTTCTGATCCGGTGGGCTGGTTCTGGTCCGGTGACCTGGTCCAGACCCGCGGCGGCCATCTTTTCTGCAGGAAACTGAGAAAACAATCTGATATTTTTTGGACATGATTTTGGGAAATGTTTTAAAAGCGTTTAAAGCGTCACATTCTGCTGCTCTCTCCACTGTCTGATGAACTTTGGTCTACATCTTCACGCCGTCTAACGGCTGACCTTTGAACTCAGGGTCGTACCCGCTCCAGCCTGACCTGCTATCGGCGGCCTTATCGAGGCTGACTGGTTCTGATGGAGGCTGTGGTCCAAACCATCACCTGATGACGTGTCAGATGTTAGTGAGCTGACCGCTCATATTTTCAGAAATGATTTTCATAAACAGGAACTTCCCTCCAGTCCCACTTCCTGTTGCTGGACTTTCACCGCCATCAGCACCATCAAGTCATTTCATCCCAGTTCTGCTGGTTTCTGCAGAACCTAACGGCATGACGGTGCAGCTCCACAGCCCTTAGTTAGCAGGTCAAAGGTCATCACAGATCAGAAAAACACTGGAGAACGGCAGAGAATCAAGATGGCGGCTGGACTGAGGATGGCGTGAAAAACCGCGTCCAGTTTTTATCTGCCGGGAGAAAAACTGCAGAGGATGTAACAGATGCAGCGATCGATTTGTTTCAACGTTTATTTTCACAAATAATATCTGAAGTGTGGCATGCATTTATGTTTGAGTCCCCTTTACCTGGATGGTTGGATCCATCTGCTCCTTCTCAGAAAGCAACACCTGGCAGCAGGATGCATTATGGGAAAAAGGTGAGCCAGTGAGGACTGTGGTTAATCATTCATTTATAAATGTCTGTTTAAAACTTTATATTTAATTAGCAAGGATATTTAGTTTATCAAGCTAAATATGCAGTTTGATATCATTAGCAATCTAAATATTTAGCTTGTTAAATAAATATTGATTAGCATAATATTTAGGCAGCAAGTTAGCAAACTACATATTTAGTTTGTGATTAGTTTCTAAAGTGATGACAGCTTTAGCGCTGCTTGTTTTAGTTAGCATTGCCCACAGTGGCAACAAGGCCTGACACAATAATCAATTAATCACACGAGAAATAAAAACAAGCTCAATAATTTTGATTATTATAAATCGATGATTTATTGTTTTTCTCTTTCCACCAAAAACTGGATGATAAAGTTTTCAGTTCGGTTTCAGCCGGCTCCTCTTTTGAAGGACAGTGTGTTGTTTTGTATCTTTGGGATTTAAAATGTCTCTCAGTTCCAGTCAAAAGTTCATCACAATTTCAAATTTATTGCTTTTTGTGTTCTTGTATTCTTTTGTTGTTATCGTTTAAAATGGCCTCAAAACAACAATATTATCGTTTATCACAATAACTTCTGGCACAATTTATCGTCCAGTTAAATTTATCGTTGTGACTCAGCGTTTTCTTGGCTTCTCTGTAACGAGTTGCGTTCATGAAAGTCGTTATTTTAGACGCTCCGAGCTGCAGGTGGTTCCTGCTGAACTTGAGTCCGTCACCGAGCGAATCCGGGTCAGTGCTTCTGTCCGCTCTGGTTACAGGGCGGCTTCACACACACACACACACAGAGCTCACACACACACTGACACACACAGAGAGAGCTCTCTCTCACACACACACACACACACACACTGAAGACTCGACACACAGCCTGGTTTCATCCAGTTCTTTATTTCTGAATCTTTTCATCTACTGGAGTGATTTTTACACAAACCTGATTCCTTTATGATTCCACACTCTTAACTAGAAAACTACAATACTGTATGTTTATATACAACACACACACACACACACACATTAAAGTAAAGGAGATTAGCACAGGTGTTTTCAAATGAAATGCAATAAAAGCACAAATTAGCACAGAAACAACAAGATATAAAAACAGTTAAAAAACAAACGGTTCATATTTGTTTCTGTCCTCTGAGCTAAAGTCGACTCAGACCAGATGTTAACGTGGAGTTAGTGAGTGATATTCCTGAACAGAACTCCCTGGGTTCTGCTCCGGGCCGGTTCTGATGACCCGGTTCGGTTCTGATGACCCGGTTCGGTTCTGATGACAAGGTTCGGTTCCGTGTGCGTTGCAGTCGGCAGGTTTCCAGTAAGGCGTTCAGACAGAAGCGGATAAAGCTATAAAGTTTTATTCATGAGATAGAGAACGGTTCAGACCTTTGGGGTTAAAGATTCATTCGTCTTGATTTGCTCTGTAGCTTATATCGACCCAAAACCACAATAATCTGGATTATTCTGACAGATTTAACTGGAAAAAGTTCTGATTCTGCCACAAATTCTGACTTAACCTCACTGATAGTTCTAAAGACTTTCAGGAGTTTTCATTGGACTTTCTTTGCCGTTTTATTTATTTTCAGCCCAGAACTCAAATAAAGTCCCAGTAAGAACATTTTTCAGGTTCTGTTGGGCCACAATGTTAAAGTCGGCTTCGTGCTCGAATGAAACTGCAGCCAAGGTCCAAAGAAAAGACAAAAACCTGCAGAAGGTCTGCAGAGTTTTACTCAAGACCATCTAACATGTAACAAGTCAGTCTGGATGTGAAATGATCAGCGGTTTTCAGGCTTTCTGAAGCTTTCGGGTTTTTTGGACTTTGCCTGAATTTACCTCAGGATTAGAAGTTAAATCATTCAGGTTGAATTTTCTTCTGTTCATCTGCAGGAGGATCTTTTGTAAAGCTGTTATTGAATCCAGTGGCCTTTATTTGACCCTAATGAAGGAAACCTGACCTGAGGCTGAGGTCATCAGAGCAGGACGGCGGCGGCGTCCAGAGGCTGGCTGTGTTTCGCCGCCGCCTGAATGACGAAGCCTGAGCTGAAGGAAAACTGAACTGCAGCAAATGATCAGCAGCGAAAGTCCAAAGAAAACTGTTGAGTCTTCTCTGAAGACCAGGTTCATGAAAACGAGGAACAAAGAACCTGCATGACGCGTCAGGGCAGGACAGGAAGCGACGGCTGGTCAGTTTGAGGAACTGGCAGTTTCTCCTGGCTGCTAAGAGTTTAGAATATGTGCCTTTGTTGTCGTCCGCCGCAGGCGACCCGTGACTGAGGCGGACCGCGGTTAGTGGGCGGGGCTTCAATGCTGTGCTAAAATAAACTAAGAAACTGAACGAGTGCCCAAAGATCAGTGTAATGACAGACGTCAATCACATAAAGTGCCTGAGTAACAACAATCAGATCAGAAATCACTGTAGAACTGAAACATTATCGCAAACTACATGAAAGGACGATTTTCTTCTCTAGTACTGGGAGAAAGAACTCAGCCTGCCTGCGGTGGTGCTGCCACCTGCAGGCGCGGAGACGTACTGCAGAGACCTGGCTTCCCTCACTTCCTTTTTCACCAGAGACTTTGGTAACTCAGAGCCATTATTGCGATGCGAGACTTCTTGTTTGGCACAAGAAAAACACAATACTGCTAATAAGTTGGTGAATAAATATAGTCGGACCCTTTAAGAGGCCAGTGAGTTTGGTTAAGTAGGAGGCAGGAGGCCTTCAACCCGCAACCCATCGCCCGCTTCCCTGACCGCCCGCCGCCGCATACGGCCGGCCAACGGGAGGACGTCGTACCTCGGGTCTGATGGAGGAGGCGGAGCCTCGACTAAACTACGTGTTAATAAACCCCGTCTTAGCGAAAGCTACAAGCTAGTTTACTGTGACGCTAACCCTCCATCAAGATGCTAACAGCTACTCTCAAGATGCTAACAGCTACAATCAGGATGCTAACAGCTACAAGCGTTGGTGTTAGTTGGGTGAATGAGAGGCAGGGCGGTCCGGCTGGGACAGAGTCTCTGTAATGGCGGCTCTACACGGTGGTGGGGGGCGAGGCCTCCGTCTCCGCCTTCTGCTCCGGCGAGCAGCACAGGAAGAGGCGGCTGCCCAGGCTCTTGAAGGCGAAGCGGAAGTACATGGCGTGACCCATGGCCACGAAGGACACGGAGATGATGACGAGCAGGCCGAAGGCCTCGGGGTTGGGCGCCAGGATCACCATGATGAAGTGCAGCAGGTCGAGGAGGTAGTTCATGGAGTTCTGGACGCCGTTGATCACCCCGCGCTCCGACTCGATCACGTTCTCCTGGATGAGCTGGGTCACGGTGAGGTCAAAGGACCACAGACCTGCAGGGCAGCGGAGGAACCGGCGGTTAGCAGCAGTTAAAAGCCGCAGAGGCTCATAATGGAACATTATTGGCTTCAAAGGTTGCAAATATGACTCGTCATCTGGAGGAGATACGCCGCCGCCACGCCGCCGCTCACTTTATCAGGTGAGAAGAAGGAAACACGCTGACGCAGCAAACTGAAGCCAATCAGATTACCAGGAAAATCAGCCGGATTATTAATCTATGATTGATTTGATTTAGAATCTCCACATCATCTAGAATTGTTACAACTTTATTCTGGTAATATTATGACTAAACTTATTAAAATATTATCAAATAAATGTTGTATTATTACAATTTAAAAATTTTGACTTTTCTTATGATTTCTTATTCTGATTTCATTATTATTATTTTTTTTGTATATTTATTACAACTTTAATCTTGTAATTAAAGGATTTTTCTTTAGTCTTAAAATAAGAAAGTATTTTTTCACCAGAACCCACTGAGAACAGGGTCAAAGGTCGTTGGTTGGGTTAGCAGAGATTAAAGAAAGACTGGCAGCTTAGAGGGAGAGAGTGAAGAAAGGGAACGGCGGGTCGGGGAACGGCGGGTCGGGGAACGGGGATCTGCTCACCCATTCTGGCGGCGATGACGCCAGCGAACAGCAGGCTGACGGACATGTAGGACTGCAGCGGCGGCGGCTCGTGGGCCGGCGGCGGCGTGGTGGCGTTGGTGCTGAAGGCGGCGCCCAGGCTGTGCTCCGCCTCGGCAGGCTCTGCTGCCCCATCAGGTGGGCGTACAGGTCCTGGAAGGGCGACACGCTCAGGTCGAAGGGGCTGCCGGGGGCGAAGACGGAGAAGACGCACAGCAGGAGGCAGCAGAGCTGCGCCGTGCCGGAGATGAAGCCCGTCCGGATCAGGCCGCACTTCTTGCGGATCCAGGTGAAGGCCACGGTGCCACAGATGCCGGAGATGGCGGAGGCGCCCATCAGCAGGCTGAGGATGGAGCCGTTGAGGCCCTGCGTGTAGGCGAAGCCCGTGGTGATGCAGTCGAAGCCCAGCACCGTCATGTAGAGGAAGGCCAGCGACATGCCGGCCAGGAAGATGTCCTGCTTGTAGTAGGCCACCCAGCCGGCCCTGAAGGTCCGCAGCGGCCGGCTCGCCGCGCCGCAGCAGCCAGCCGCCTCGCCAGGGTCCGCGGCGCCGGGCGTCGAGCCGTCCATCAGCGGCTGAGACGATTCCTCAGGACTCTGGCCGTTCTCACAGTCTGTCAGGAAACAGGAAGCTTTGGATCAGCAGGTTCAAAGTTCAAACAGACGACGGAGAATCAGAAGTTTAAATCACCAGATAAAGTCGTGATTTTAAAAAACTCGTTTAACGACAGAAAAAAGTTGTTAAATGAGAAAAAGATGAGAATCAGGAGATCAGATCATTTGATTCTGATACATATTTCCTTATCATTAAGTTAAACATTAAAGAAAAATCTATCCAGTATAACTTCACCAGTTATATTTTGTGTAAGTTTTAAAATATTCCTCCTTCAGTCTGTTCAACTTCCTCATATTCAGACTTTATTCTCTTTATGGCTGTTTTGCATATTTTTTCTTGTGTTTTTTCTGTTCCTCATAATCATTTTGTCCACATCAAACTGCAGCAACGGGACGAAGTCATCGAGCAGGCAGTGTGTGTGTTTGTGTGTGTGTTTGGGGTCAGAGGTCAGGGCGCCGGTACCTTTCTGGGGGCCGAGCTGCTTGAGCTCGTGCTGCTGCTCCTTGTGTCCGGCCTTCAGGGCGAGCGCTGGCGTCTTCTGGTAGACCTTCCACAGCAGGCCGTACTCCACGCACATGGAGGCCAGGTTCCAGCCGGAGATGAAGCCGCAGCCCACGAAGTGCGAGCCGAACGCCATGATCTGGCCCACCAGCATGGGCGCCAGGATGTTGGTGAGCTGGTCGATGATCCGCACCGTGGCGTTCATGTCTGCGGGAGGAGAAACGCCACGGGGTCAGCGGGTTCACCGCGGCAGATCTCTTAAACAGCTCAGAACAATCAGGAGGACATAAAGCAATGAGAGCGAGTCAGCGGCGGCGGCGGTCCAAAGTCTGACACTCAGAGATACGAGCAGAAACTCACCGGCCAGGCTGCTGCTGTCCTGGCCGGCCACCACCACCACCCAGTCCCGCTGGATGGTGATGGAGGTGGCCGTGCTGGCCAGGTTGGCCACGTTGGCGATGCTGATGACCAGGATGTAGCAGAAGGTCTGGAGGAGAAACACAGCAGGATTTAACCTCTGACCTCTGGTTGTTTCTCATCAGCAGGTTCCATCCTGACAAAGCTGATTTTTCCTACATTCATTAAAAGCAACAAAACTATAAACTTCTGCGTTATAATATTGTCTGGTAAGCAAAACACATGTTTGTTTCCATGGTTGTGTTTCAGGTCATGTGACACATGTGATGCAGTGAAGGATTGTGGGATATTTAAAGGATCACATGAACACGACGCCACCAGCCGCTATTTTAATATGATTCATCAATTTTACAGATTATTCTGATAATTATTAAGATCAAAAAATCATTCTGCTCATTTTTTATTTCACTTCTTAAACCTTTTTATATAATATTAGAAAATCATTAAAAATGCAAATAAATAATTTAACTCATTTTTAAATAACAAAATAAACAATTTGTTACTTAGAAAAGCAAATCAAGTGGAAATCCAGTTTATACACTTTTTATAAAACTTAAAGTGAAATCATTGCTAAATATTTGATTATCTTCATATTTCTGTGCAGATTTTAACATTTATAAGCGAATAAGCAGTTAAATATTATTTCCTCAATCAGAGATTAGAAGAAGTCACATTTTTCCACAAAGTTTAGACTAAGAGTTTATTTCTTTGATTATTTTTATTTTCTGGCCCATTTGGCCACGCCCCTGTCTCTCTTGGCTCCGCCCACTTTGCTGGGATTTACTTAAACTTTGAATATGAGTAAATATTTAAATGTCTGGAAATAAAATGTTGATTTTTAAACTGTAAACAAAAGAACTGCAGAAACTTTTTAATTTGTTAAAATAATTGAATGTTATTATCTTCACTCCTTTATCGTGTATTTTGAAGAAAACTTTTGTTCAGGCCCTGAAGTTATGCGAGTTAAAGCAAATATTTTTGACAAAAAGAAACTAAAGTCAAAGGTCGAGTTCTGCTCTTATGCAAACCGACCAGAATCGATTTCTGGCTTTTGGGGGAAAAAATCTATAATTGTCTGTAAATAATTAGCAGGTAGCAGAAACGGAGCGCTGCAGGTCAGCTGGTCGTCATAAACGCGTTTTAACGACTCAAACTGACATGTTGTAAAGTTTAGGGCTCAGCTGCTGCAGTCAGCATGGCAACAGGAATCTGTCAGCAGGCGGATCAGGGACGGATTTTCCTCCGTTTGCAGTCACATGAGCAACATGAGCAACATGCTGACTGGGTGGCCTGCAACACACACACACACACACACACACACACACACACACACACACACACACACACACACACACACAAGGCAGACAGAATGCCTTCGGCTGACCCGGGTGGTCTGGTGGTTTGATTTTGGAGCTGCAGGTCGGCCCACTGGGTCGGCCTGCAGCTCCAAACCAAGCCACCAGGCCACCCACCGCACTTTTCAGCTGTGTTTAGTTTCTAGGTTTGCAGTCATTAACTCGGCCCGTTATGATAAAGTTAGTTGCAATAAACAATTATGTTGTTGTTTTGAGACCATTTTCAATAAATAAACTCTTTAATAAATAAACAAAACAACAGAAACGACAAATTAATCAATTTGAAATCACTGGAAACAAAACTGAGACCGAAGCATCCAGTTTGTGTTCGAAAAGAAAAAAGTAAATCATGCAAATATGTTTATAATTTATGCTGTGATGAACTGATCGATTGCTTATTGATCTATTGCTTATTGATCAGTGGGTCTCACCAGGATCCAGCCGTTGTAGAGCTCCACCAGCTGAGCCTTGAAGTGGAAAACCAGCATCAGCAGAACGCCGCACGTGATGACGCAACTGTTCTGGACCAGCAGCGCCGTCTGGGCCACTGTGGGAACACCGGGACCACGTCAGACCGGACCGGGCAAAACGCTGCGACCCAAACACAGCTGACCCACCCGGATCCACGCCGAGCGTTCGGACGCTCACCTTTCAGCCGGGGGTTCCTGTCCACCCAGTTGCCGATGTTGGCGCCCAGCAGCAGAACGGACCCGGCCACCACCAGGCCGTAAACGGCCGTGAGCAGCAGGCTGTTCCCGTACAGCTCCACCAGGAAAACGGCCACCGCAAAGTTCCACATCCGGTCACCCTGCAGCCAGACGCACATCCAGACTTTTCTACTTTCCGTCTCACTTTTTATTTACTTCCATTTCCATTCAATATGTTCACATATCTGGAAACTCAACATTAAAATCATTTTTTAGGGCTGTTTCTGTAAAGGAAGATTGATATGAAAGTATGTAAAGAACTTAGCAAATATAAACTGTTTTTCTACAATAATCACAGTTTTGTTCTGTGATGCTTTTATTTTTCCAATGAGACTCAGAAGGACAAGATTTTCATGTTTTGTTTGGATCCAAGATTCTCTAGAAGTAAAAAAATCAGCTAAATAGGTTTTTGTAACAAAACAACCAGCAGGAAAAACTTCAATAACCAGTTTATTAAAAATAAAAGAAAATTTGTTCTGCTTTTAAATCAATTAATAGACAATATTTTTTACTTTCTCTCTTTGGACAGATTCAGAACCCAAACACAGAGACAGCAGGTAAAATATCAGGTGAAATATCACCTGATTTCATCTGATATTCCAGGTGAAATCTGAGCTGCACTCACCCATGTAGACAGAGCATGACCCATATAGATGAGGAACCGGGCTGAGGAGAAGAACCGTCTGATGGACTCTGAGGAGACATTGAATGGTTATATATTGTTGTTGTTGTTGTTGTTGCTCGTGCAGCTCACCGCTCCATGTCTCCTTCTTGCTCGCAGTGTTGTCCATCCTGCTTCTCGCGGTTTCAGGTTCGGTTCAGGTTCGGTTCTTTGTCCAGCCGCTTTCTGCTCCAACCGTCGGCAGCAAGAAGCGGAGAAATGAAAAAGCAAAAGAAAACGCGGCGTTCCTCCTTTTCCTCCCCTCCGAACTTAGCTAACACTGTAGCTGAAGTTGGAAGGAAATGTTGTTCTGTTGCGACGGACGGGTTCGGCCCAAACAGACTGCGGCTCTGTCCGGTTCGGACCGTGGCTGCTCGGCTCTCCTCTCCTCTGTTTACGTCCCGCCGTTACATATACCCACGCTGTGACGTCACCATTTGCATGGGGCCGCGGCCCGCGCACGCGCACAGTGGGCGGGGCGACTGGAGGTTAAAGATGGCGGAACCTCCGTCACTAAATAAAACCGGTTCAGTTCTTTTCTTTTCCGGTTTGGCGACTTTTCTTCAGTCGAGAGGCTCCAGCATCAACATGTTCACAGCGAAAAACAGCGAAAACGACTCAAAACGTCCGAATCTGTCCACAAACACTAAAACGGTTTTTACCAAGAGGATCTGTGCGACCAGGGCCGGACGAAGGCTGAATGGGGCCTGAAGCAGGATTTGATTGGGCTGCCCTCGTCCTATTCAGACCTGCTGCAGAAATGTAATTGATTAATTGGGTTGAATTTGGGTTCAAATAGCCAAGCTTACAATCAGTGTTTTCTGAACAAACTGAGCTCAAACAAAAGCAAAGATTCAACTCATAGCATCAGATTCTAACTTTGTTAACTCAACAGTCCTGGTCGTGTTCAGGAACCAGCCAGGCTCAACGCTGCGGGTTCCTGGGAGGTTCTGGAACTGCAGCGTCAGCATGGAGGACTGTGCTGCAGCAGCTGGTGCTGCAGCACCTGCTGCTGGTGCTGCTGAGTTGGAAACAGGAAAACAGAACAACACAATGACTTGACAGAGTTTGGCCAAAATGAACTGCATGTTTCCATTTGTCATAACTTCTGAATTCCAGGACAGAAACGTCTCTGCAGTTGGAAAGTCGGGCCCTCCGGTCCGGCTGCAGCAAGTGAGAAAGTTCAGGCTGCAGCAATGACAGATTTTTATCCATTTGATCTGGTTTCTGTTTTGGTAACTTGTGAGAAAATGATCAAATTCTATTTTTGATTTAAGAATTTGATTAAACATATTTATGTTCAGCTAAAAACAAAACAAAAAATTTAATCTTAATACTTTCTTAAAATGTTTTAAAACTAAATTTAAAAATATGAAAATGCTCAAAACATGCATCACAGATTAGCATTAATATACAATCTACTAGATGTTCTCCAGGGAGGTCAGAGGTCAGTAGGACAACATGGAGCAACAATTAATGAGCTTCCAGATCTGAGGGCCCTCAGAGGAAAGTTTAGTTTTTCTGTGAATTAGAGAAATTGTCTTTTTGTTTCCAGTTTCTGGAAAGTTTCTCTAGAAAAGTTTCAAACTGAACTTCTGCTGTAAACATTTGTTTAGAAAACGTTTAGAGAAACGCGGCTCTGCATCGTCAGCGCCGCCATGTTTCAAATGGCTCATTCTGTAAAGAAGATGAAAAATTATTTGATTTGATTTTTGGATCATTTAAAACACCAAGTAATTGGATTCAAAGCAATAAAAATTGGGATATAAACATTTAAAAAAAATAACTACAATAAATTAAAAATATTGTTTCATATTACCAAAAACATCAGTTTATTCCATAAAAGAATGAATTTTATTTATTTAATGTCAGAATGTTTTCATCAGCTTATTGTTAATGGCATCCAGTCTTTAGATTATTCTGTCTTTGATTTTTTTTAGTTATTTGTTCTGTAAATATTTTTTTTGTCTTTTAATAAAACTTTGCGTTCTCTCCTGTGAATTACTTTGTGAGCTTTTTGTTTTCTTAAAGATGAATTTTACCTGTTGTTCTGGTTTCTGCATATTTATATTCCTACACTGTACAGTTCCATTAATGTAATAAAATTAAACTAACATGACTTTGCATTAACAGGTTCCAGCTAATCTATATTTTTTTAATGATCTGCTTTGTTCGTGAGGAAGCTGCAGAAGGATTTGGTCATTTGAAAGCGTTCAGGTTTCCATGGATGACTTGCATTTCTCCGGCTGTCAGAGCAGAGATGTAATTACAGGCTGCTGCTCCATCAGGTAACAACAGTGAGGCGGATCCGATCAGCTGGAGGCCTCTCTTTTCTCTGGGCTTTATTGTTCATGGAGATGTTTTTGGATCTGCAGTGATGAATAATTGCCACTAATCCCAGCAGCGTTGTGTTTCTGAGCTGATGTTTTTTAGAGCTGAAGGATTCCAGAATGATCTGTCCAGATTCAGCGGCCGACCCGGCGTGTTGTGAAAGAAACAAAAATGCTCTCTGGCTTGTTTCACTTCTCCCTCTGAAACAAACAAAGGAGGGGCCGGAGCGTCACATTCCATCGCTTTGTCTCAAGATAAGAGTCCAGTTTGACTTCACGCATCCAAAAGAGTAAACATTTAATATTTAATGTCTTGGATTTTGTAAACATCTTCATTTGGTGCAGAGGAAACAATGAAGAACTGAAAAGTGCGTCTACGTGCTTCAGGGCGCAGATGAACCTGTTCTGACCTGAAGGGCCAGGGGGTCAGAGGCTCCAGGTTCACTGAGAAAACATGCAGAAAGTTGAGATGTAAACTTTGAGCAGTGTGAGAGTGAGCAGGCTGAGGTTCACATCGCTGCCGTTCATCTCAGGTTGTCCAGACAGGATGGATCTGAGCGACACCTGAAACCTGGACTCAAATCATACAGAAAGTACTGTGTACCTAATAAAGTGGCCACTGGCGGTAAATTTCCAGGATTTCTGAATATCAGTAGAAATTTCTATTTAGTCTTTGGCTAAAGACTAAATATTTTGCCATTTCTCCCGCTATCGCTAGGCTAGCTAGCACATTCCCTGTGCTGTAGTCCACTTCCTGGTTTGGTCTCTGGACCGCTTGGCATTCACATATGCATTCAAACCGAACCCAGACTGGTTGGGAGAACCAGAGGTCAGTTAACATTCACACCAACTGAACTGTACTTTCTACAGAATTTGGATTAAAGTGGATTCAAAAAGCATCTGCCTGATTTTAGAGGAGCCGTCCAGTTCAGATCTGGAAAGCCAGATTAGCTCTAGAGTTTCTACTGGACCGAACCGAGCTGATTCTGGTCGCTTAATTCGGATTTTCAGAATAAAAGCTGGTGTTGTCCTCTCTGGCTGCTGTCTCATGTCGTGAGGATGCAGAACTGGCATAAGCGGGTATTTTGGCCGCAGCGGTAACAATGGGCTCAGGTGAGTCTTTGTGATGAATACAGGGCCCAAACAGAGCAGAGAGCCGCTGGAGCGGAACCAGATTAGTGGGTCGGTGTGTCAGCCCGCCGGGCTCAGCTGGCTGTCATCAGCGGTCAAACGGCTGCTCTGTTATTTCCAGCAGCAGGTTTGTCTGCCTCCTTTTGTTGCATAACAAGCTGTGTTTACCTGGGCTAATTTTATCCCGGATGGATAAAAATATGAATGACTGACCCGCTGCGGCTCAGCAGCGACGCTGGAGGATTTTCAGCTGTTCTTCACGAGAGCTGAGCTTTTCACAGCTAATGCTAACAGCGTTTTATCAGAGCAGGTTCATCAATCTGCTGGTTCTGACACTGCAGCGATGCGTCTGTAAGACTTTGATCTGCTTCACAACAATAAACATCAAAGGTCTGAGACCGCCTCCCAACATGACGGCGAGTCTAACAGCGACACAGCAGCAAACACCTGACAGCCGGTCCGGATCGATACCGGCCGGTCCGGATCGATACCAGCCGGTCCGGATCGATACCAGGGATCGATACCGGATGAACCAGATGTTTGGTTCCAGATTAGTTTTCTGGCCAATCATCCAGGGCCGGTCCAAATCTTTCTGGGGCCCTAAGCTGATTTTCATCTGGGGGCCCCTCATATCAACACCAGAAGCTTCATCATTCCTGAGCTAATCAGCATCATTGTAATTAGCTTACATCACATCAGTGTTATGGTTATTTTAACCCAAGAGGGGAAACAAACTGAAAAATAGACTTTGATATGCAGAGTTTGTGGTGTAACTATTTTTTGTTATTCTAAAAAGTATAATCCAGTATATAGAGGTAGACGATATGGCTGAGAAACTCAATATAAGAATTTATCAGTTTTTTGCCCTAATACTTGAGATACTGTCAAACTGGTGATTGCACCCTATCCTGTTTAATTCAGTTTCCCCTTAATATGGCTCGTAGAAGATGATCCATTTTCGCTCCAGTTGTATTGCGGAATTGAAAATGGGCATCAAAGTTAATTTCATATTGAAACATGAGATTCTTTTACTCAGTATTTGATTGCATTTTGCTAAGAAAATAATATACTAAAGAATATGAAGTAAAATGATATTTTCCAGCGCAGCTATAGCACCCCCTAGAGCCGCCACGAGGCAACTATTCATTCATTGAATTATTTTGACATCCATGTTTTCCAAAAATTAACAGTTTCTTTACTTTTCTCTGAATGAAAACTATTTTTATTTAACCTCTTCAACATTTGGGACGTTCATGCAGTGAGAAAGTTGACACAATCAGTTGTTCTGCCTGCTGTGTTTAGATGCTCAGCAGCTTCTCCAGGACGGAGGCTCCGGCCGGGGCGCTGGTGAAAATCGTCCCGACAAAGACGCGCGTCCCCCAGAGGGGATGGCGCAGCGCCCGGCAGCAGCCCAGGTCCTCGATACGGAAGCCCAGCTGGGCGAAGCGCTCGTCCGTCTCAAACAGCGAGTTGTTGGTGTAGGGGCCGAGGAAGGCCAGGCCGGAGGACGGGTCGATGAAGTCGGCCCAGAAGCCGGCGTCCCGCAGGGCCCCGCAGATCTCCAGCGCTCCGTGGATGAACGTCTCCAGCTTCTCCTCCCGCTCGCGCTCCACCGCGTCACTCCATGACGTCATGTCGCTTCGGGTCTTCTGGGTCACAGTGATGACCGTCAGGTCGGACCCTGGAGCCTCCGGGAACATGGACAGGAAGTCTATTCTTAACGCTTCCGGGCAGGACAGGATGGCACACTCCACCCTGGAGTCGGAACCGGGAGGTTCGGAAAGTTCGGAGGGAAGAACTTCATCAGTTACCTGGAAACCCGAGAGCCCGTTTCTCCTGCTGTGCTCTCCTTCTTCCTCCAAGGGGCGCTGCAGGCCCCCTGGGTCACACAGGTAAAGGTGACGGTCCGGACCGGCCGGGTTCTGGTCGGACCCAGCTGTTCTGGTTCGGACCAGCTCATAGTTCTTTACGGAGCAGGCAGCAGCTGCAGAGGCCGGTCTGCTAGCAGCCAGGCTGCGGACCAACACATTGATCCCGGACAGGTACCGGACCAGCCTGGTTCTGCCGGACAGAACCGGACTCAAACAGGACATTTTACCGAACCTCTGACCGCAGACGAGTCTCTCTTTTCCTCCGCTTTTTCAAAGTGTTTCAGTTAAAACACGGAAACTCGTCGTGTCCTTGTAAACTCTCCGACCGTGTAAATATTCTAGCGCACATGCGCATTTCCCACCTACTGCTTCTTTACTTCAGCTGTTTTCACACGGTTTTGTCGCCCTCTGGTGGTGTGGCGAATAAACTCCGGGTTTATCATTTTCTTCATTTATTTTAACCATACTCCATAACAAAACAATGGGCATGCATTACTTGTCCAGTTTCTCTTAAAACAGAAGAAGGTCTTTGAGAAGTTGTAAAGCGGTTTTAAAAGCCAGACTTTCTTCAACTCTGTTAAACATACACTTCATGTAATTTGTAAATCGGAACACTTGAACATCAATTTTAGTCTTGCAATATATCTAAAAAACATTGCATAACCAAATATAGCTTTTCAAACTATTGGATTTTGGTTTTTACTTTGAAATAAAGAAGAATGTCATAATATTGACAAAATTTTAATCCTTAAATGTTTTTAAATCAACTGTATATGATGGCTGGATAAACTACACAGCAAGTTTGTTGTATTTTTTCTTGTTTGTTGCCTCTCGCAATATGGCGGCGACGTCGACGTGTGATTCTGACTCTTCATCGTTCATGAACGGAAGCTGTCTGTAAGGGGCAAACCCCAAACCCGGCGATGAACCTGCTAGCCGGTTGCTAGCTCCGTCAAATAGCGAAATAGCTTGTTTTAGTTCCGTTTTGGACAAAATGTCTCAAACAAACTGCGGCAGCAGCGATAATGTGAGTGAATATTCAGCGCTGAAGGAGGAAGTGAACAGAAAGGTTCGTTAAAACCAGTTGCTGTCGGCTAACTCGCTGATGTAGAGGATGATGAGCAGCTTTCACATGTTTTAGTGCTGAGGTTCGGATGCGTTAGATGAATATTCTGACTTTCTCACGAGCTGAGTGTTTTTGTTTTGATTATTTCATCTTTTAGGTGAAGGAGCAGAAGATTATTGTGGACGAGCTTTGTAACCTGAAGAAAAACAGGGTGAGCAGAGCTAAAGCTAACATGCTGTGGCTCCACCAATCACAACCTGGCCTTCAGTTTAAATTACAGTGACAGGTCTCGGTTAAAATATTTAATCCAATTAATTGCAGAGTCTTATTGATTAATCATAATTAATAGAGAAAAAATTTAACAAAACAAACACTGTCAATTCCAACATTCTTTTGCTGCTAACTTGTTGAATGAACAAACATCAGCTCAAAATAATCTTCATGTTTTTTAATCCTTTATTTGGTTCCTAAACCATCAAACTGCTGCTTTTGCCATTCAGTTTGTCTGGACTGATTGTTTAAAACGATCAAATCTGTTTCCTTGTTTGTGTTTATTTCCTGCAGAAAGTTTACATCCAGCAGAGGAACAGCAACGTTTTCTTCCTGGCTGACAGAAGTCAGACTCTGAGTTCCTGTAAAAGTAAGTGGATCTTTTCCGGGTCGTGTCTTCTGACCCTGATGGAGTCGTGATCCCGGTCCGTTCTGTCTGCAGAGGAGTTGGACTACATGAAGAAGGAGCAGCAGGACCTGTGAGGTCATCACCATGTGCGGGATCTTCTGCCTCCTGAGTCGGTCCGCGGCTCCAGAGGAACTGGACCCGGCGGTCCTGGAACCTCTGCAGAGGAGAGGACCGGACTCCAGCCGGGACGTCTCGGTTACAGAGACGGACTCTGGTTACCGGTGCCTGTTCTCCGCCCATGTTCTCCACATGCGGGGCCTCCTCACGCCGCAGCCGCTACGGGACGCCGACGGGAACGTTCTGCTGTGGAACGGGGAGATCTTCGCAGGCCTTCCGGTGGATCCGGACCGGAACGACACCGCCGTCCTCTCTCAGAGGCTGCAGTCCTGCAGAACCGCCGCTGAGATCCTGCCGGTGCTGTCAGCGGTCCGCGGGCCCTGGGCCTTCGTTTACCACCACAGGGCGACGGAGTGCCTCTGGTTCGGCCGGGACTTCTTCGGCAGGCGGAGCTTACTGTGGAGCTTCACGGCGGAAACGATGACCCTGACCTCAGTGGCGGCTCACGGTCCGGCCTCCGACCCGCAGCGCTGGCAAGAAGTCCCGGCCGCCGGCGTGTTCAGGGTCAACCTGAAGGAGTTTGCTCGATCCGGTTCCGTTTCCTTGGAGGTTTTTCCCTGGGATCATCCTGGTATTCCCTCCACCAGCCCGGAATTCCTTCCCGTCGGCTGCCAGGCGGCGATGAACCCGGCCGGGCTCGCTCTGTCCGCCCCGGTTCCTCCTCTGAACGAGTCACTTCCTGTCTCCAGCCCTGACCCGCCAACCGAGTCGCGGCTGTCGGTCCGGGAGCTGGAGGAGCTGCTGGAGGGAAGCGCGCGGCCGGATGAGGCGGATCACCTGATCCGAGTCCTGAGCGAGGCGGTGCGGAGACGAATCCAGGCTCCGCCTCCTCCGGCCGGTTCTGCCGGCATCGCTGTTCTTTTCTCCGGAGGAATCGACTCCATGGTCCTGGCCGCTCTGGCGGACTGCCATGTTCCCGCTCAGCATCCCATCGACCTGCTGAACGTCGCCTTCAGACTCCAGGAGCCAAAGAACCACAACAAGAAGCGGAGCAAGGATTCCCCGAACGGCGACCCGGCTGCAGCCCGGACCTTCAGCCCCTTTGACGTTCCGGACCGGCTGACAGGAAGGGCCGGTCTGGAGGAACTGCGTGGCCTGAATCCTGAGCGGCGCTGGAACTTCGTGGAGATCAACGTGACGCCGGAGGAGCTGCAGGAGGCGCGGCGGCAGCGGATCCGACACCTGGTGCTTCCGCTGGACTCGGTGCTGGACGACAGCATCGGCTGCGCCGTCTGGTTCGCTGCCAGGGGCGTCGGGGCCGTGATGGAGGGCGGCGGGTCCAGACCCTTCACCTCCTCAGCCAAGGTGACCTTTCACCTTCTGTAGCCGAGAACGATTTCCTGTTTTCTTCATGGTTCGACCTGCAGATCCAGATTTTTGTTCTTTATTCTTCAGATTTAAGAACAACATTAGACTGATTGGTTTATTGTTGATAAACAGTTTATTCTGGTGATTAATCATCTAAATCGTCACATTCCAGCCAATCAGAACCAGCACTAATCATCTCTACTGACAATTATTTCAGTAATGGATGAATCATGATGAATCGTTTCAGACTGAGCATAGATGAGTTTCTGCTAAAAAAAAAAAACCTTTTAAATGTTTTTGTTTTATTCAAATTAAGCCCATAAAGTGTTGGATGAACCCAGATTTTATATTCTGGGTCTTGGAACGTTTATGTTATTTTATTCTTCTCATGCAAGCCGTTGATCAACGATCCACGCAGTAAAACGTGAGTCCGGCTGACGCTCCTGTTTCTGCAGGTGGTTCTGACCGGAATCGGCGCCGATGAGCAGCTGGCCGGTTACTCGCGCCACAGAGTCCGGTTCCGGACGGCGGGACTCCGGGGGCTGCTGGAGGAGCTGAGCATGGAGCTGGGCCGGATCTCCTCCAGGAACCTGGGCCGGGACGACCGCGCGGTGGGAGACCACGGGAAGGAGGCCAGGTAGGCGGAGCAGCAGCCCGGAAATGACTTTCAGAGAAATCTGATGGAAATGATTGAACATTAAATCTGGGTTTTTCTTTTTGTTACAAAATAAAGGTGGAAAGTTCAGGTTTATGCTGGTTGAAGTTTCCAGACCCGTTTAGTTAAAATAAAAACCAGAGCAGCTAAAGATTATTATAGAAATCAATTAATCTGACAGTTAATAACTCTGATTAACCCATTATTTCCTGGTGATTAATTCCTTCTTTTGATGATTGATTGATTAGTCTGAAGTCTAATCAGATAAAAAGATTTTTAATTTGACCTTTTTGTTTGCAATATTAGAAACATGTTAAAATCCAACTTAAATTATATGGCAAAAGGTGTTTAATATCCCAGACTGTGAATATTAAGTTTTAGCAAAGTAGAAATTATATTTTTATCATAAAATTTGATTCCAATCTCATTTTAGATTATTTTCCTTATAATTTTATTTTAAAAAGTTTTTATTTTTTTCATTCCATCATGCAGAACAAAAACCAGCAAAAGTTTCTTATGAAAATATTTGGTTTTTATTGAGGCTTTTTTCTGAAAATAGTAACAATAAAAGACAATCAAAGTAGATTTTTGAAATCCTTTTATTGGTCAAATTTATTCTTTGATGACAGATGAACTTTGGGAGATTAAAGGTCAGAGTGGGAGCTAAAGGAAATAAATGCTTTTAAATGATTCATTTATTCTGCTGCTCAGAATGTGCCTGGTTCTGATCCGACCCGCTGCGTCCCGTTTGTCCCTGCAGGTTTCCGTACCTGGACGAGGGCGTGGTCAGCTACCTGAGCTCGCTGCCCGTCTGGCTGAAGGCCGACCTGTCTCTGCCGCGCGGCGTCGGCGAGAAGCTGCTCCTGCGGGCGGCGGCCAGGCGGCTGGGCCTCGGCCGATCGGCCGTCCTGCCCAAGCGGGCCATGCAGTTTGGCTCGCGCGTAGCCAAGATGGAGGACCGGCGGGAGAAGGCGTCCGATACATGCAGGAGGCTCCTGACCGGGTGACTGGCAGCCTCTGATTTCCTGTTTGAATCTGTCTAAAATCATTTGCTATTAAAATGCTCCTTTAAACGGTTCGTTGTCCTCCAGCTTCTCGCTGAAGTAAACGTCACAGTCCAGGTAAGACGGCAGGTTTCCCACGTCAAAGCGTCCGGAGATCTCATGGGCGAAAACCGGCTTCCTGATGACGTCAGAATCCAGTTTCAACATTTTAAATCATTTCTGGACGTCTGAGCGGCTGAAGGAGCGTTTCCTGTTACCTTGGGATGAGCCAGGACACGAAGTTCCCCGGAGCGTCGCGCTCTTCGATCGGAGCGTCCTGATGACACAAAGTTTCTCAGTGAGAATCTGAACGCCTGGAAGCTAAAACTCGTGGTTGGGGTTAAATTTGACCTTCTTCTCCTCCAGGAAGGCGTCCAGCAGAGGAAGACTCTCCTTGGAGAACACGTAGAAACACGGACACTGGGAAACATTTACAATATTCACAGGTCAAAACCTACGAGGGAATATCATTAGATAGTGGAACAGCACCAGCTAAACTCTGTTCTAATAGCCTGTTAGCATTAGCTTCTGCTAAATCCAGTGTTCTAACTGTTCTGATGAGGCATGCTTTATGGCTAGCGCAGTTAGCATGTAGCTCTGGACTCACGGCTCTCCTGGACTCGGTCTCTGAAGGCCGCGGCTTTTCCTTCATCCGGAGAACCCGGAGGTCGTCATCCACCTCCAGGATCCCGTACTTCTGGGTTTCTGCTGAGCAGCAGGAGAACGTTCGTCCTTCCACTAACTGCAGCATGATGATGATGATGATGGTGATCTCACCTTCGTCCCTGCAGCGGTAGCACAGCAGCAGGCAGCTGTCGGCGCTCCGGGCCTGCAGCTCAGAAACCTTCTGTGTGACCCGACCCAGACTGAAGTCCTCCCTGAACAGCGTGTCGCTGCAGAAACATCAGAACCGGCATCAAGTCCCCGAAAGCCGCTCCGGGTCCAGACCGACCAGAACTCACCCTCCGATGACGATCACGCCGTCCTGGATGCCGAAGTGCTTCACCGCCAGCTGCAGGCAGGCGACGGCGCCGAGCCGCTCCTGGGACGGACAGACCACGTTAATGTGGGTCGGATCAGAACCGGAGCGGTTCTAACGGGTTTCTATTAGTTTACTTCGTTGCTTCGCGTCTCATCACTGAGAATCTGCACTTCTGGAAACTCTGCGGCCCAAACGGCGAACGCAGCCTGGTGGAGAGCGTTGGTCTGGGGAAGAGCAGAACCGGAACCAGGCGGTCCGATTTAAAACCATCTGACGTTTAAATCTGGCTTCACTCCAAACTGCATGTCAGGTTATTCAGATTAAAGCAAAACTAAATGATGGAAAGTTCTTAAAGCTACAGGCTCCCGTTGCTATAGTAACAGGATTAAACAGGTCCAGCTTCCACCAGTTTGATCATTTTTAAACTACATTTGTGAACAAATCCCAGTTTAGATTAAACTTTTAGATTTGAGCTTGTTTTCCAAACAACTAGATGTTGAAAACTCTTTAATCTGATCGAATCACATTTAACAGCATTCAGTGAAATTTCAGCCTTAATGAGACCGGAAGCAGGCCGCTGGTCGCGTTGCCTTGGCCCGGCCCGGGAACACAGAAGAACCCAAACAGTTCAAGTTTGGCTGTGTTGCTTTTTAACTCGAGGGGTCAAAGGTTGCGTGGAGTTGAGAAATCGGGTCATTTAGTTCATTAACCGGTTCCGATCCGGATCATTCCCTTCGGTTCCGTTTGATCATCTCTACTGAACCGTGATTGGAGTATTTGTTCCTACCACCACGTAGATCCCGTCCACGGTTCCGGACCGGGTCAGCGCCCGGACCCAGCGGCTGATCAGCGGGATCCGGCCCACCGGCAGCAGCGGCTTCGGGACCCCGACCAGGTGAGCGAACCTGCCGCTGCGGTCGGACGAAACGTCCCGCTGCAGTCTGGTTCCGTAGCCCGCGGCGAGAATCACGGCCTTCATCTGGATCCTGTCTGGGCCAGTCCGGGTCGGGATTCTGGTACCAGAACAGCGGCTGAACTGAGGCAAAGTTCCTGTTCTTCTTTAGAGGTTTGGAAGGAGCTCTTTAGCGCTCTACCGCCCCCTGCTGGAGGAACTCATGAAATCTGCAGAACACAGCAGAACCGGACCACAGAGTCCAGAACACAGCAGAACCGGACCACAGAGTCCAGAACAGCACCGACCACAGAGTCCAGAACACAGCAGAAGGACCACAGAGTCCAGAACACAGCAGAACTCTGTAAAACTGACTGGATCATAAATATTATTTCTATGGACATAATTTGCTGCTAGGTTCTCATGTGTCGTCGCTCATCAGGCTGCATTTCCTCACGTTACTGTAATTAAATATAATTTGTAATAAAATCCTTTTTCATTTTCAGTGGAACCGTTTTACCCTGAAAACTCATTTGGATCAAATATTAAACTTGAGTGCATTATGTTTCTACTCTGGACCAAAGCATGAAATAAATTCTGATCCTCGTCTTCTCCGACCAGAACCGTTCATGTTGGACCTCTGACCCGACAGGAAGGACAAAACATAAGTTCTGACAAACTAACATTTATTGACCCAGTCGGGGTAAACCGGGTTACAGCAGCAGAACCGTCGGTCTACTCTGCGTCTTCCGACCCGCTTCCAGCTGCAGGCGGCGCCTCCGGTTCTGGAACCGTGAGCGGTTCCGACTGATCCGATGGCTCGGCCTCGGGCTCCTCCATTGTTTCCTCCAATGGCTCCTGGCCTTGTTCTGGTTCTGGTTCCTCTGCACTTTCGGATCTTCTTCCTGCAGAAAAGTTCCTCCAGACTTTAAGTGACAGGTTCTTGTTTCGGGTCAGAACCACTGGGACTCAGACTCGACTGCATTCTAGAGTCTTTCGTTTGGTTTTTCGGACCAGAGTCGGGTCGGTTCTCCAGATTGTGGTGACCTTTCAGAACAGGAAGTCTGCTCACCTGGTGAACCGGGTCGGTGGTCTCTGGTGTCGGTGGCCCCGCCTCTTCCTGTTCCATCGGTTCCTCTTCATCCCTCAGCAGAACGGTTTCCTGCTGTAGCGTCGGTCCTGGTCCTGGTTCTGGTCCTGGTTGCTGTGCGACAGTTGGTTCTGCCGGTTCCTCCTGGAACATCAGAGGACAGTGAGACCCTGAACCCGACCGGACCAAGAGGGAGGAACGGCGCTGACCTCCAGAACCGGCTCCGCTGGCGCCGGGTCGGGCTTCTTGTGGGCCTCCAGCACCGCCATGACGGAGGTCGGGATGTGAGCTTGCTGTGGACAGGAAGGGGACGGTCAGAAGCGTGGTGCAGCGCAGCGTGGCGGGCAGGAAGTGTGAAGAGTTCTGACCTGATGTGGCGTGAAGGACAGGACGTGCTGCAGCAGCGGCGCCCTCATCTCCGGGCAGCGCTCAAACACGCTGGCCAGCTGCAGCGGCGGCAGCTGCAGCAGAACGCTGTAGGACTGCGGCTTGGTCCGCTGGCAGCACTTCACGAAGCCCTCCCACACCTTGGGGTACTTCCACACCTGGAGGACGGGCGGAGGTCAGGCGCCGACCCGATGGAGTCGGCTGACCCGGCGGCGGCGGTGGCTCACCTGCTTGACGATGAGGCGGGACAGGATGTTCATGACGAAGCCGCCCAGGCGCGGGTACATAGTGAGGGACTGGATGACGGTGCGCATCAGCAGCATGGGCAGCGGGTTCTGCTCCATCAGCTGCTGCATCACCACCGCCAGCACCTCCGACGTATAGACGTTCTTCTCCCCGAAGCACAGGTTGGTGGCTGTCGGCCCACAGGAGATCAGACATATTTAACCACCAAAAACATCCTGAAAATACCCCTACTGACATCTAGTGGTGAGGATGAAGACTGCAACAGATCCGGCCCTCCAGAGGGCGATATAACACCAGGCAGCGACACATCAGGCATCAATCAACAAGGTTCAATTTAACCAATTTAACCTCAGCATTACTGCAGGTAGTTCAGGGCTTCTGCTAAATGCCATGTGGGACAACTTATTTAAAATGATACTGAATAAAGTTCGTCCTCTCAAATAAATCTTAGTTTTGTTACTTTAGGAGCTGTTTTCTGATGTTTAGACTCAAACATCACAGCTGTCAATGATTCAGTTCAACTCGTTATTTCTGCTGCCTGGTTTGTTCTCGCGGTTCGTGACACATCAGAGTGTTACTAAAACTGGGACCCTGAAGCAGCTGGTGTCTGAACTCTGACCTTTGATGATGGATTTCATGTCGCACTTTGTTGAGTCGATGTTGTGCAAGGCGATGAGCAGATCTCCTGGAGTCAGTGGAGAAACCGAAGAGCTTCCCTCACCTGCCAACAGAAACCAGATTCACTAGCTAACGGCTAACTGCTGAACCGCTTCGCTGCATCAAGACAATTTATCAACAGGTTTTGCTCTAGTTTGACAGAAAAACATGTTTAAGCTGCATAGCAGTAGCGCGGGGGAAGCGGCGCCCCCTGGTGGGGAGTCAGAGTCGTACTGTGCTGAGTTCCCAGCAGCCGGTTGAAGACTTCCTTCACGACGATGGGGTTGAGCTTGATGAGCTTCGGCAGAGCCTGGATGACTTCATTCTGAGGAGGAAACAGAACCGTCAGCGAAACGCCAGCCGAGCGGCGCCGGCCCGACCCGGCCCGTTCCCCCAGCAACTCCACCTTCTCCAGGCCGTTGATGACCGGGATCAGGAAGCGAACGTCCGGAACGCGCTTGTGGTAGAGGTCCCGGACCCGCTCCACCAGCTCCGGCGATGGAGGCACTGGGCGGAGGAACGACACGCATCAGAACCGGACCAGTCCCATCTGGACCTTCGTGTTTTTTTCTGTCTGGGTTTAGATCTTTCCTACCTTTATCGGTCAAAATGTGCAGGCAGCGAGTGACCAGAGTCTCCGCCCCTTTAGGACAGTTTTCAACCAGAAGCAGCAGCTCTGGAGAGTTCATCCCCATCCCGCGGATCTGAAAGACAAAACCCAACAGTCAGGGTGAGCTGCAGCTCTATAGATCTGCAGAGTCATTCTAACTACTAATGTCTCAGATCCAGAACGCGTGCTTTAGCCTCTCAGGTTCTGATGCCACAGAAAACGCTCATTTTCCCAGCTGATGCATTTGTACAGCAGGAGGAACAGCAGCAGATAATGAGCCCAAATTCATCCTGAGCTGCTGGACAGCGCACAATCACAAGCTACATCATGACAGATTTGGTTCTGTTGAGGCCAACATGTTATGTCACTGATACCTGGATGAAATTAGCATTAGCATTAGCTTCCACTGAATAGCATATTAGAGGCGCTGGTGAGGCGCGTAGCGTCAACAGAACTGATGTTTATGAAGATTGTTATCGTTTCACTGTTGGGTCGGATTGCAGATCCAGACCGGCTGACTCTGCTGATCCACACGGGGTCATAAGTATACATACACCCCGTAATGTCTGGTCAAACGTCTCCTAGAGGAGACCTGAGGACAGACTCACCGGCTGCTCGATGGCGCGCAGCACGCTGCGCTTGATGTCGGCGATGGCCTCGGTGTAGACGGACGCCAGCTCATGGACCAGCCGGTGGTTCAGCGGAAGGAGGGACAGGTAGAGGAAGAGACACTGTCTCACCGTCTCCTCCGTCCACGGAGCAGCAACCTCTGCAGGGACATCAGACATTAGTCCCTCTGGAAACGTAGCCGCTTCCTGCGCTGTACGGGTCGGTGAGGGACGCTGACCCGTGTCCTTATCGGCGCCGAACAGCAGCGAGGGCGGGTTGGGGTGAACCAGGAGCTGCAGGTAGTTCAGGGCAAACTTCTCGATGTAGTCCCTCAGGTGGTCCTTCTCATACATCCGCTTCAGGAAGGCCAGGGCGGTGCTGCGCACCTGCAGCACATCCACAGCTCCACCTTAGCATTAGCTTCAGATTTATCTGACCAGATCCAGAGCACAAGCTTCATCAGAGCTTAGCATTAGCATTAGTTCAGAATCAGTTTGATCAGGCCATATTTGCTCCATTTTCATGTATAAAATCAGGACGGATGGATTTGATGAAACCAGTATAAACCAGTGGGAGCGGCCCGGCCTGGCCCGGCCCAGTCAGCAGAACCAGACCTTCTCTTTGTCGTGGGAGCTGAGGTCCAACAGAACATGGAGGTACTGGAACTGCCTGGACGGCCTCTTGACGATCAGCTCCTTCAGCGTCGTCATGCCCAGATAAACCCGGGACTGAAACAGAGGTCAGAGGTCAGCAGACAGCTCAGCAGGACAGCCAGAGGCGGAGGACGGCGCGTCTCGGTCACCTCGTCCTCACAGTAGCGGCGGATCACCTCCAGCGCCGACTCGGTGATGATGGGAGCCTCCAGAACCAGCTTGGTGAAGAGCCTGGAACAGAAAACGGGTCGGACTGATCCGGTTGCTACAGACATTCCAGCTTCTTTCCCAGAAATTCAGCTTCAGCCAAAAATAATTAATCTTTTAATTTATGTTGAATATTTCAACAGAAACTGGTGACTGGAAAATCCCAGAACTGGATCAGCACCAATAAGGAAATAGGAAGGAAAAGGGTAGGGAGCAGGACACATTGGAGGACAGAGTGGACCGAGCGGCGGCCGCCCCACTGACCCGTCCCTCTGCTCGGGTTTCTCCTGCAGCCCGGACAGCAGCGTGTAGAGGCAGTGGTCGTATCCGTCCAGCAGGCCTGCCGGCAGCTGGCTCAGGTAGCTGTTGTACTCCTGGTACAGCAGAGAGAAGGCCAGGTCGCTACGGCATCGCATGTCCTCCAGGACGTAGTCCAGGACGTCCTCCTTCATCACGCCCTCGAACTGGGTCACCAGCCGGGACAGCAGCTTCACCCTGACCTGCATCATCATCATCATCATTATCACATAGCCATGGAAACTTACCCAGCCAATCACAGATGAGTATTTCTCAACCAGCCAATCAGAAAGCAACTGAAACCTAATACTGGAGATGCTTTCAGGTATTTTTTACTTTGTTTTAACTTTGGTAAAAAGTTAATTGGCAGTTAAATTTTGATATCAAATATTCAACACTTGATATAAACAGATTATTGTTATTAATATCCAGAAATTCAGAGTAAACTTCCTGTTTCTGTTCATCTTTGATCATCCACACCTAAAACCATTTTTCCAGATGGACCGGACCGGACCGCCCTCGGCTCTTACGTGGGACATGCCGCTCTGGGTGACCGCCTTCTCCGAGTGCAGGATGCGCTTCACGGCTCTGGAGGACAGCGATCCGATCTGCGAGTCGGACAGCGGCTGGACCACGTCCGCCAGGCGGAACACCTTCTTCCTGCCGCCGGCGCCAGCCATCCTGCAGAGGAGCACAACGTCAGGGCGGCCGACAGACCACCAGGTCGGTTCTGGTTCCGGCGGGCTCACTTGGTCTGGACGGAGGGCAGGATGGGCTCAGGAAGCCTCTTGACGGCGGGCGCCTCGGGGGCAGGCGGCTTCTCGCTGTAGCCGCCCACCACGGAGATGGCCTGGCCCACCATGGAGGACAGCGACCGTCTGATCAGGACGTCCTTCCCCCCCGACTCGTCCTCCACCGGCTCCTCCTTCCCCGACTCGTCCTCCCGCGCCTTGCACTGCTCCAGACCTGCCAGGAAACATCACTGTGATGTCACAGCTGCCCGGATTTCTGACAGGCTCCTCATGCTAATGCAGCTAGCCACTAGCTAGCACAGCCCCTCATGCTAATGCAGCTAGCCACTAGCTAGCACAGCTCCTCATGCTAATGCAGCTAGCCACTAGCTAGCACAGCTCCTCATGCTAATGCAGCTAGCCTCTAGCTAGCACAGCTCCTCATGCTAATGCAGCTAGCCACTAGCTAGCACAGCTCCTCATGCTAATGCAGCTAGCCACTAGCTAGCACAGCTCCTCATGCTAATGCAGCTAGCCTCCAAATGCTAGCCTAGTAAACCATCATGCTAGCTCAGAAAGCCCTGCGGCCGTTAGCGGCGCTGACCTGGTCCGATCCCGGCCGCCGTCATCTGGGTCGCCATCAGCCGGGCCAGGTGTTTGATCTGGGCGTCGGTTCCGGCTGACTCCACCGGTGTGTAGGTGGCCTGGAAGGACGCCGGCATGACGTCCGGCAGGTACACCATGCTGATGAGCACCTGGCAGACAGACGGGCGTCAGCTGGACGAGTCCAGGGCGACACAGACAGACAGGAAGTGGTGGCGTCTCACCAGGTTGGCGACGTTCTCCGGGGTCAGCAGGGGTCGCAGGAATTCGGCCGTGAGGTCGATGGCTGACTGCGGAGTCGGGGCGGCCGCCGGCTTCGGGGCAGCGAGCGGTACCGGCTCCTCTTTGTCCTCGTCGTCTTCGATGAGCGCCGGTTCTGAGGGCAACAGGACTTTGATTAGGCCAGTGGCGGCCGGGCAGAGCCAGGCGAGGGGGGTCACCCACCCATCTTGACCTTCTTGCCCTCGGCGGCGGGCTCGTAGCGCGGACGCTTCCTCTGCTCGCGCGGCGGCGGCGTGTTGCGGCTGATCTCGCTCTGCGGCATGCCCAGGTCCAGCAGCAGCGTCCCGATCTGGACCTGGAACTCCAGGCTGCACGGATGCTTCAGAACCGACACCAGGTGCAGCTTCAGGTTCTTCCTCACGCTGCTCACCTGGGACTTGGCCAGGGTGGGGGGCAGGTTGGCTGTGGGGGGTAATTATCAATTGATCAGTTTAATCAACTGTTCATCCAACCAAACATCCGTCCGTCCGTCCATCGGTAGACCTCTGTGACCTCTGACCCTCACCGTGCAGCGTCTCGTAGGCCTGCACCACCTCGGACATGAACATCGGGCGTTGCCTCGCGATGGTAGCTAGGGAGCCGAGCGCGGTTGTCAGGTTGATGCTGGAAATTGCCGGGTGAACCATGAACTTCAGCAGCTTGTCCAGCGCCGCCTTCCCCTCCTCGCACAGAGCGTCTGCAGACCAGAGACACGTTTAGCGCCGCCACGCCACGCCTCCTCTGACCTCTGACCCCAGGCCGTACCGTAGCGGATGTAGGGGTGGTCCCTGGGGACCTTGTCCAGGCTGATGTCTCCTTCCTGTCTCTTGGGGACGTCGGACTCGGGCGTCCGCGGCGACAGTGTGACGATCAGCGACTCGGTGAACTTGATGGCGTGCGTCCGGACGCCGTCGTTCTCCGAGTCGAGCATGCTCAGAACGTCTCCGGTCATCTGGGACACCAAGTCCCAGCAGGCCTCCTGCATCTCCGACACCGACCGGGACCGGACCAGCCACTGGCGGGAAGAGCCAGAACGGATCAGGTAAAAGGTCGGGTTCCCTCTGCTGGGTCCGGTCGGCCCGCTCCTCCTACCTGCAGGGCGACCTTGTAGAGCTGCGTCAGGGACAGGATGGCCTTCTTCACCACGTTGACGCTGTCGTCCTTCAGCAGCAGGTTCAGGTTGGCGATGAGCCGCAGCAGAAGCTCGTTGTCCCGTTTGCTGAACGGGTCAGAAACCACAGGAAGTGAGGTTCTGGAGCAAAATCAGGACCAGAACCAGCAGAGTTCTGGCAGCTCACCAGGCTTCCTCGATGAACCCGATCACAAACTTCCTGACTTCCATGGACCGGTCCGTCTGGAAGGCGATGATCTCCTGATCAACAGAAACATTTAAAATCAGATTGAAACACTAAAATATGATGAATCACATAAACTCTGATTGAATGGCAGCTTCATCAAGTTCGACTTTAAGATAAAAATCTTTATCAATGGGAGAAGAATATAACAAAATCATCAACATCCCTTTAATGAAAACAGAACGAAAGCTGAATTTGTATCTTTTTAAATGAACATCATTAAATCATGTCCTATAACGTGTGATCAATAAATGCTTAACTAAATGTATAGATTGTTGATTAAATATGCCGTTAAACAGCTGAAATCCAAACTGTCAAACATCAATCCGTCAAAAAGATTCGTCTTCTAATGTTTTACACATTTTGACCAGCAGGGGGCAGGAAATGTGAAGATTTTTGTCAATAGATCATTAAAACTGAAGAACTCAGTTATTTATTATGAAGTTCGTGATAGAACAGTGTCTTTATTCTAGGTGTAAACATCTTCATCCAGCCTTATTTTTATTTACTTTTCCATAACTCAGTTTTTTTACTTACATCCAGGAAGTTGTCCAGAAGAGACGGATCCTTGTTGATGATGAGTTCCTGAACCTGAAGAGACAAACAGAATCAGAGCAACTGCAGCACAACCTGCCAGCAGGGGGCGCCCCTTCAAAAACACACAGAATAATGGATTTTACTGAAGCGAAAACAAACAAACCTGTTTGAGAACAGTGAGCTTTTCATCTGTGGGGATGAGAGCCGCCTGGTTCAGCAGCTCCACCACCTGAAGAACAACAAAACAAACATTTTATGGTTTCTAAAGGAAAAAAAGAGAAATGTTTCAGATAAAACAACAGCAGCAGCTTCATTTTCCACAAAATTATCTCTGCAGCAGAAACTGCTGCTCCATAAATATCTATTAAATGTTTTTCTTCTGTCCTTCAACGGTAAAGGAAACCCAGACAAAATCCTGAAATCCATGATATTCCAGGCCAGGATCTGAGAGGATGTCTAAAAGGAAGCGTCTGCATCAGAAGAACCAACTCAGCTGCCTCCTTTACTCAAAGCCGAGAAGCTACAGGCAGATGATGAAGCTCCAACCTTATCGCCATGACAGGAGATGGTTGCTACGGTGACAGACTATATTTCTTGACTACCTGATCTAAATGTGGTCAGGTGCAACGAATGATTCTTCATAAAATCAGGAAATGATGGCCAACCCTGAGCATCCGCTTCATTATGCTGGAACGCAGACTGCTAGAGGAGGTCCTTCTTGTAAAATCTACAACTCTCTGAAGAACCTTTAATTTGATGTTTCTGTGGGATCAGAAACATGATCCCAAACAGAAAAAATGAGTTGGATGATCAGTTTCTCTCGGTCTGGATCCTTTTATCGATTCATTATCATTACCTTCTCGCTGGTGGTGACGTCGAGGACAGCAGGCGGCTCCCCGTCATCTGAAGGAAGCTCCATGATGCTGCTGTTAGTGGATCACAGTGAGGACGGCATGGTCTGGAAAAATCCTGGAAAATCCTGGAAAACATGGAACCGATTCAATGGAAGTTAACCAGAAAACTGGAGTCCAAATTCTTCACACCGAAACACGAACCGAGTCACTAACAATAAAGTGTCTGATATTTACGTCATGAATATGAGCAAATAAAATAATCACAAAGGTTCAAAACGAATTTTAATTAGAAAGTGCCACAGTTATCTTACCCGATATGCTAACCACGATGCTAACCTGCTCCGTTTTAACTTAATTAAAACATTTGAAACCCAAAAACATACCACTTTAATTCTGTCCTCTTGTTAAAGTAAGTATTTATAGCTGGCCGACAGGAAAATAGTTTCTTTCCAGAATATTTAATTCATTTATTTCTTACAAAAACAAAACTGTTAGCGCGGAAGGCAAGAAGCCATTCTTCTTCTTCTTCTTCTTCTTCTGCTTCCGGTTTTAGCTCTGAATCAGCGCGTTTGTGCAGCACCACCCCCTAGTGTAAAGAAGGCAGATCGGCATGTCTTGGGATAATGTATGACTGTATGAGGATGTCTCACTATCTTTGATCCACTATATACTGTTTTAGTTTTCTGTCATACAGTTAAATAACATATATTTCGTAATTAAATAAATTGTATCCTTATTTCCTTCAGTTCCCAATATTTCCAGGGTCCATCCTTTCTTATTTTTATTCGCCGTCTTTCTCGTTCAGATTTAGAAACAAAGCAGTTCAGCAAAAAATCTTCTACATTTTATTTTATTTATGTAATGAATTCAATTGAATAAATTATCCACTGTTCAAAGACTGAGACATATTTTGAGTTCTCTAACTCAAACAGGCGAATAAATTATAAATATAAATTGACTGGCTTTTTTCAGTTTATGAATTCACACAAAGAACTCAGATAATTATTACAACTTTAAACAAAACAAAACATGAAATTGCGAAGAAAATAATATGATAATATTTCGCTTCTTTAATATCACAGTTTAATAAAATGTGTAACATTGTACACATACTATGTAAATACTGAGACAATTTTATCTATAAAATAACATCTTAATGTTAAGAAACCTGTTCGAGTTTCTAGTTTTTGTTCCGTCACATTTTAGAAATACATTTCCCCGAAGGCTTTGCGCCGCCAGTGACTCTGCTAGCTAGTTACGAAGAGAGGAGGAAATGCTAATGTTTACAACCAGTGAAGTGGCTCTAGTTTCCCAGTAAAACCAGTGATTTAGGTAATTTTGCTGCACGGAGTGAAATGACAGTTAGATAATGTGCCAAATTAAATGACGAGGTTAAACATTCAGGTAAGAAAAATTGATTTTAACGCATTTTTAGTCTGATATTGTAATTGAGCTTATTAGCGCTTAGCTTGATAAACATTTGGCTAAACTGCGACTTAAACCTGAACATCAGACGTTTTACGAGTATCTATGCCTCTTATTGACCTTAATGTTGTTTATGTAGATTAAAGAAGAACGGTGAATTGGTTTCTAACATTACTATTACATATAAACATGAAAGCTGTGCTACGCATTGAATTTAGTTCAGTGCCACCAGCTAACTCCATAGTTAACCTGGTCAGTACCAGAGTCCAGTTGGGTTTACAACTGAAGGTGTTCTGGTTCTGGGACAAGAGGTTCTGTAGAAACCAACCAGCATGAGCAGCAGGTCAGGGAGGTTCTGGTTCCGTTTAAAGCAACCACCTAAGATGGACAACCTGCAGAGGAGATAGACTCCTCGGATCTGACTTGCCACACGTTTAAGATTTTATTTGAAGGAATGACAAAAACTTCAATCACTTAATGAAAAACAATCAATAAAATAGATTAGGAGATGCTTTCTGATTGGCTGTTTTAGTGTGCAGTATCCTGATTGGCTCTCTGGGTGTTCAGTGTCTTGATTGGCCGTATGGGTGTGTGCAATGTCCTGATTGGCCGTCTGGGTGTGTGCAGCGTCCTGATTGGTCGTCTGGGTGTGTGCAGCGTCCTGATTGGTCGTCTGGGTGTGTGCAGCGTCCTGATTGGTCGTCTGGGTGTGTGCAGCGTCCTGATTGGTTGTCTGTGTGTGTGCAGCGTCCTGATTGGCCGTCTGGGTGTGTGCAGCGTCCTGATTGGCCGTCTGCGGGTGTGCAGCGTCCTGATTGGCCATCTGGGTGTGTGCAACGTCCTGATTGGCCGTCTGCGTGTGTGCAGCGTCCTGATTGGCCGTCTGGGTGTGTGCAGCGTCCTGATGGAATGGGTGTTCGTTATGAACCGGATGAGCTCTCAGGGCAGCGCGGCGGCCCAGCGGCGGCGCATGGCCCTGGGGGTGGTGATCCTGCTGCTGGTTGATGTCATCTGGGTGGCCTCGTCTGAGCTCACCACGGTAACCAGCTTTCATTGAAATACAGACTGGAAACCAGTACAGTACCAGTACAAACCACCCTCACTGTTTCTCTTCTGACCTTCTCTCCAGTACATCTTTAAGCGGCAGGACTACAACAAGCCGTTCTTCAGCACCTTCACCAAAACCTCCATGTTTGTTCTCTACCTGTTTGGGCTTCCTGCTGTGGCGCCCCTGGCGCCAGCAGTGCAGTGGCGCCCTGAAGCGCCGCCAGACTGCCTTCGTAAGTCACTCTGCTTTGTTAGGCTGCAAATATTTAGAATTTTATTGATGCAATGTGGTCTTGAAAGCTGCTTCATGTTTTCTGTTATTTCTCCTGAAAACTTTGATCTTTTTACCCTTTTTGTTGAGTCAGGAACTGATTTTCTCTCATTTCTGCTGCAGTTTGCTGACGCTGAGGCCTATTTTGCTCCCTGCACCACTGACAGCGCTGTGAACAACTGCTTGGTGCGTCCTGACCCCTGAGGTCTGTCAGGGTAACAGCCGCTCTCTGTTTGTCTGTTGCCGGTAAAGAGTTTCTTCTTTGTCCGGTTTGTGCAGAGCGAGCCGCTCTACGTCCCAATGAAGTTCCAGGACGCAGCAGCCAATCCGTACGACTGTTTACCTGTAGACTGTGAAGCCGGTGAGTTTAAATCTGATTTCAGCTTTAAATGAAACTCAAACCTCATTACTGATTACAGACACGAACCAGGCTGGAAAAAGACAAGGGTCAAAGGTCAGCTGGAGTCCTTCATTCTTCAGAGATCAAGATCAATCCCAAGATAATGGAAAATGTCAAATGATTTTAGGAATTAATAAAGAAAAATAAAATATTTAATATAGTATGTAGTACAGGATATATACAATTATACATATATAATAATCAGAAAATTAATAAATATGTGAAATCAAGCTAACGTTTCAAAAACTACACAAAAAGATGTTTAAAAAGCTGAATAAAATTTAAAATAAAATTAAAACAACCAGAAAAAAAGTATTATTCCCAACATCTCAGATGACCAGCAGGTGCTAACATAGCCTCTGGTGCTAACATAGCCTTTGATGCTAACATAGCCTTTGGTGCTAACATGGCCTCTGGCGCTAACATAGCCTTGGATGCTAACATAGCCTCGTATGCTAACAGCCTCTGGCGCTAACATAGCCTTTGATGCTAACATAGCCTCTGGTGCTAACATAGCCTCTGGCGCTAACATAGCCTTTGATGCTAACATAGCGTCTGGTGCTAACATAGCCTCTGGTGCTAACATAGCCCTGGGTGCTACCATATCTCCTGATGATAACATCTGCAGGTCTGTGTAGCTGGTTAGCATCAGTGAAGGTCCTTGTTCTGACCCATAAGTCTTTGGTTTAAGTCTGATGATGTACTTCCTGTTTGGAGGTTGTTTTTTTTTTTTTTTTTTTTTTTTTTTTTTGTTTGTTTGTTTGGAGGTGTTGAAATGAATCCCCTGCTCCGACCCCCCAGCCTCCAGAAAGCAACGGGTTCGTTTCAGCAACATCATGGAGGTGCGTCAGCTGCCGTCTACCCAGGCTCTGGAGGCCAAGTTGTCCCGAATGTCCTACCCTGCCGCCAAGGACCACGAGGCCCTGCTGCGCACAGTGGGGAAGCTAACCATCACCGATGTGGCTAAAATCAGCTTCTTCTTCTGCTTTGTGGTGAGAAAAACTGGTCCTCCACACAGAGGAGCTAACGGTTCGCCTAGAGCTTTAATGTTCTGATAACTTGAAACGTTTAAGGCACAAGAAACTTTATTGATCAAACAAAATGAACAAACTGGGCATTATGGATGCATTTAAGCAATTTACGTTAGCTTCTGCTAAATACCAGTGTAGATTAAGCCCTCTATGTTTAGCACAGTTAGCTTTTAGTTAGCGACACAAACTGACTGGCTTAAAGGTGTTTTCTAAACTGGATCATATTTAGAACAGGTTTCATCTTTAACTGGTCCCTTCCTCCTCTGACTTCCAGTGGTTCCTGGCTAACCTTTCCTACCAGGAAGCTCTGTCTGACACGCAGGTGGCCATCGTCAACATCCTGTCCTCCACCTCAGGTCGTTCTCTCCTCCTCTATGTCTGACACTGAAGTTTAGCTGAGTTATGTTGACTGAAACCTTGTGTGATGTCACTTCCCTCTTCAGGCCTCTTTACGCTCATCTTGGCAGCCATCTTCCCCAGTAACAGCAGCGACCGGTTTCACCTTGTCCAAACTGTTGCCGTGGCTCTCAGGTGAGCAGGTGCTTTAGCTTTTCAGGCGCTAGCTAAGAGTTGTTTCAATGGTAAATGTTGTTGCTGTTGGTTTTCCTGTGTTTCAGCATGGGAGGAGTTGCTCTGGTGAGTCTGTCCAGCATGGACAGCCCTGATGAGAAAGGAGTCATAGGTAACCTCAGATCTACTGTCCCTCCGTTGGTGGAAGCGTTTAGCTAGCTGTGGCTAACCGTTAGCGTCCTGCAGGCTCTCTGTGGTCGCTGGCGGGGGCCGTGCTGTACGCCGTTTACATCGTCCTCATCAAGAGGAGAGTGGACCGCGAGGATAAGCTCGACATCCCCATGTTCTTTGGTTCGCCGATTCTTTATTAAACCCTTCTAAATGCTTTTTCTTCCACTGAACTTTATCACTGATTTCAGGTTTTAACACATAAAATCCTCAGCTCATCAGCTACTTTAGGACTGGACAAAGTCAAAATCATTTCATATAATTTCATAGTTTTTGGTATAAATATCTAAAATTCTGTTTCCTGTTTTCTCTCCACCTCGTTTTTTATTTTTAAGCAGTTTTGAGTCACAATGATAAAACTAAGTTACTATACAGATTGTTGCTAAGCAACTGAAGTTGGGGGGGGGGACTGTTAGGGACTGTTGTTGCTAGGTAACCAAAGAGTGTTGATGCACCCAGCTAGCTTTGTGGCTAAAGTCTTGGTGTGCCTACATTTCCCAGAATCCTGTGCAGTTCTAGATTGGAGCTCAGTAAATATTCTATATATTGACTGAATGAATCAGATGAATT